CGTCTCTCTCTCTCTCTCTCTCTCTCTCTCTCTCTCTCTCTAACAATATAGCCCTGAATGCGAACATTTGCAGAGGTTTCCGGTAACGCCTGTTCAAGGAGTTCCGCCTGCGGGCGTAGCTTTACCACCTGCACCCGCCGACCCTCTTATGCAATTCGACCTTCACCCGGTACCTTTCTCTTTCCCTCTCCCTCTCCCTCTCCCTCTTTCTCTCCATTTACTTTCTCTTTCTATTACTCTTCCAAGTATCAGAACTCCATTATCTTGTCTCTCCTTAAAAAATTTATCCAAATCATGATTTGGAAATATATTATATTATGTAGAAGAAATAGGAGCAAATGAAAAACAACAATAGATAATACTTTTGGAAATGGTTTTTGTACGCCAATTATGCTATCGAAAATAGAGGGGTGCGATTTGTATAAAGTTACAGTGGTATTTGTAGAAATAATGTTGTCCTTGGCAATAGTACTATTGAGCTTCATAGTGAGGTATTTGACTCCATTTTCACTAAAAAGTAGGGGTCAAATCCCTTCATGTAACATATCACTTTTTTCTTTTTTTTGGGTCAAAAAAACTTTAAGTTAGTGTCCAATCTAGGCTTTCCACATAACATGAACATGGTAAATTACTGCAACATCACTTCTACTTATAAGATTGCATCTTTTGGGTCACAATGCACTTCTACTTATAAGATTGCATCTTTTGGGTCACAATGGGCCGGATTGCCTGGCGTGGCCTTAAAAACTTGGGCATGGCCATAAAATAAAAAATCTGTCCCAAGGGTTGGACTAGGCTCACGACATTACCTGCCTGGTTCAGCCCAGCCCCAGATAGAGTAAGGCCAAGGCCTCTTTAGCCCAGTCAAGGCCGAGTGGTGCCTGGGCCGACCTTATGGGGACTATTGCTGTGCTAGAGCCAATGCCCGTCCAGCCCATCGCTAACTCTACATTTTTATATAAATTTTTTCCAAAATAGAAATTATGAAAATAGAAACTTCTATAAAGGCATTTAGCTTATCTATAAAAACTTACGGAAGAACTTAAAAAATTTTAGACCAAAAGTTGAATATCTACTAAAGTGATACTAAAGATAATATAAATTAAAATAAAATGATACTTAAATATTTAAAAATTATATTTTATTTAATCTCCACGCAAAAGCATCATCCAACACACATACCATTTGCTAGTAGTACTAAAGTTGGCACACTTCATCATTATTGAATATACATTACCACGGGTTGCTCCTATAAGATTAGCTATTTGACTATAAAATCAATTCCTTAACTATAGCATCAAACTTTAGTTTTCAAATCAATATTCAAATACTTTATGTTGGGCAAAAGTCACCCTTATAAAAATGACATTGAATAGCATCCAACTTTTTTGTTTCATGGAGATAAGATAATACCATCCTTTTCTTCATTTAGTTGTGTAAACAATTGAACTCCCATCGATCTCTCTTACAATCATATCTGTTCTTTGATAGGCTTCTTGGTGGATTAGTAAGTTTTATGTTTATCTTGTACTTCAAGTTTTATGTTTATCTTGTACTTCACATGTCCAATATAAAAAAAAAAAAAAATCCTACTTGTAGACTTTGGAATAAGATGAATAAAAATGACGAAAAATAGGAATACATTCAAAATGCCTGCACATGTAATTGCTAGAATACTTGCATGAGGTGCTCCTGGCCTCGGCTAAGGTTTTAGGAACTCTCCTCTCAAGGGGATAGGCCCTGGGCTGAGGCAAGTTATTTAGCTGAGTCTCTACATGGTCAAAAGCCCTAGATAAATTGAAAAAATACAAAGGTATTAAAAATAAAATAAAATTATAAGCGACCTTAAAAGGTCTAAATAAGCTTAAAAATATAGAAAAATAGATTTGAAAAAGTTAATTTACAATGGGGGATAATTTAAAATTTTCAAAAAAAGAAAAAATTATAAAACAGGGATTAAAGAAAAAACACTCACAAATGTTTGCCAAAAATCCAAATTATATACAAAAAGTTTATAGAACAATCCCACATTTTTCTTTTATAATTTTTTTGAACTTTTTTTAAATCTTTTGAATGTTCCCAAGTTGTATACACAACTTGGGGTAACTCAGTTGAATTTGAGAGGACTTGAGAGCGAGTCTCATAACACTGCTGGCATGAATAAACATAAATATAAATACATTGTTTCACATCGATTCATTAAGGTGAAACTCTTTTTGTTTTTAGTAATGACATTTGTTGAGATGCATTTAGAAGTGTACATATATAGTATACTCTTGCTTGAGGATACTATACATTACTCACTAGGGCAGAAGACTTATTTTGGGAGGCTTTTTTTAATTTCAAATTTTTCTAAGAATCACTTGAGGGTAAAAAGATAATTTTTTGGATTTTGAGTTCTCAAACACTTGGATCTCCAACTCTTAAATTTGCATGATCACTACTCAATCTTGAAACATTCTTTTTTTTGGTGAAATCCCGGGATTCCAAAAAATTCTTAGATTGAGTTGTACCCGAGGGAAAAAAGGACTGTATGCTCCCATGGGAGCACGAAATCTCTTGTCTTAAGAAGTTGTTGGTATGTATGGTGAGATGGGATATTCTACTAAATGTAGTATAATTTTTGTATGGCACAATAATCTCCACCGTTCACCTCAATGAGGGATGCTAAAGATGAATCTCTCCTCCCCTTTAAGGATCAATGGTGGAATCGCTTTTCATTGTGATGATTGAGAAGTGGGGTCGATCTACGTGTAATACACAAATAGAATGTACTATATGTAATATGGTAGACTTCCTCATATGATATTTAGAATTAGTGTTTTAAAACCCAGATTGGCTCTCCAAACCGGAACCAAACCGAACCAAGCCAGCTCTCGCGTTGTCTAGGAAGATATATATATACCAAAAATAATAATAATAAAAGAAGGGTGTGGCTTGTATAAGACTGGGCCCTAAAAAGTCAAAGTAAGGCGGATCGTTCAAATTGTATCAAAAGATGTTGCTTTAGTATTGAGAATCTTTGTGATGGCTCGAAAATTTATTTTCATCTCTTATTATAAAATTTAAAGCTTAAAAAAAATAAATGGAGATTGAGCAGATCTATGAACATTTGAAGATGCACTATTTATAAAATTGACAGTCTAAAAAATGCATTACAAGATGCACTATTTCTAAGACTTGAAATCTATTGTTTCTTTGAGGTCGAGATGATCGATTTGACGACATTTTAGCATCAAAACGACCTTTTCTAGTGAATTTTTGATGTGCACCTTAAAATTATTGTTTAGGATCACTTTTATATAAGCCTTTTCCATACACTGTTGAGAACAATCCTTAGAATGCCCATAACTATTGTGATGCATGATTAGTTTATCATATACCCCAAAAAAAGAAAAAAGAAAAAAAGCCTTGGCTATTCTTTTATCCATGATTCTAAGATTTCATCTTTTGATTTTTGATTCGCAGTCAAAAGAAACTATAGATGCTGCCATCGGTGATGCTTTAGCAAATCCATGGCGTCCACTTCCTCTTGGATTGAAGCCTCCATCTTTGGACAGTGTTATAGTTGAACTACAACGGCAAGGGATATCTAAGTTACCTCCAGCTTGTGTTTGACAAGACAAACAAGTAGCACCAACTGATATTCCCTTTGCTCCGAAAATTCGACGACATGTCTCGGTTCTTCATACATGTTTTTTTTCAGTTTTTTGACCACCCAACTTACTTCCTTACCATTTCAAAACCTTTGGTGATTTCACTACAATTGTGTACATTTTGGCAGCCCTATGATCCTTATAATGAGAAAGTATCCCAACGGCTTATCCTCTGGGCTTTTTTTCGAGAAAAATTGGCAAAAGAGTCCAACCATTTCTCGTTTCGTGTGTATCATCCTTGCACAGTGGCCGTATTTTTATCATATGTCTCCGAAGAGATTTCCGTTTTCAGTGAGCTCATTTCGACGTCATTCTATGCTTTCCTCATCTAAGGGTTTAGAGCTGTTGGTTATTTTGCGAATGGACAAAGTTAATGGAAACTCTCTGTTGAAAGATGAACAGACCTATATGATACTGCTTTGTTCATGTTTTCTGGTATGGAGGCTTCGACTCTGAGAATGCAGGTTTCGTAATAGAGGCATGCCCCATGAGAAGTTCATCATGGGGCATTTTTACTTGGTTCAACATTCAATGCATGCATCCAAATTTTGGGAATTATGCCATAGTACATTTTAAAAAATAAATAAATTTTAAAAATTAGAAATAATAATTGTAGTAAGAAAAACATTTGGAATATTAGTTTTTATTTTTTTTAGATGGAACACCTACTTGCCTCCATTTTTTCATATTCATGATCGTGTCCTTAAAAATTAAGTCCAAAAACCCATCTCAAAAATGGATTTATTAATAAGCTCGTATTTCTACATATGCAGGTTTGGCAGCATAAAAACCGGGTCCTATGGTAAATGTACATGGTAAAAGACATTGAAAATATTTCTATGCGTCCCCTACTGAACTTATATGGTTCCTGCTAGCCAACCGTCTATTTTGAATGGATAGTTGAGATGGCCCCATCATAATGTCACATCTCTACACTAATTTATTTTTATTTTTTATATATAAAATATTTTGACACCAAATTTTGGGAATCCACTCCTCTCTTAAACTCACATTAATAAAAAATATAAAACAAACATTCTCAATAAAATAAAATGACCAAAATACCCCTAAAAGATTCAATGGGTATTTTGGTTATTATATTTTATTGAACAATTCTTTTTAATATCTATGTTAGGTGCGCCCCATTGAGAAGATGGCATGTGCCAAATTTTATATTTATAAAACTTGTAGAAAAAAAGTAAAAATAAAATACTCGGATCTAGATCATACGGTCAATGGCTCACTCGATCTAAATTGGACGGCTAGATGGGAGAAAGTATATATCTTCTATATTGTGGGGGAAGTATAAAATCCTTTCTCAAATATACGTGTCTAAAAAAATGCATAAAAAAAAACAACAATTATGTGAAAACAAAGCTGCTTTATCATATCGGCTAACATCCTCCACAGCAACAGAGACAATGGGACTTGGATAAAAATGGGCAGGCATAAGAACATGCATGGGGCATAGGTGATCCGGTGGAGGGGATGTGGTCTTGAGTTTTATTCCTTCCAAGTGTTAGGTATGGTGATATCCAAAATCATTCACATAAGGAACTCTCATATTATGTGGGATTGAGATTGATATTGACAAGTTTCCTAAAAGACATAGAAATCCAAAAAGATTAGGACTCTTGGATATATATATATATATTGGTTCATGAAATATATGTAGCATCTATAGGAAGTTTCCTATTTAGTATGGATTCTTAACCTTATATATTTGAGATGAAAGAGCAAAGCATTTGTCTACCTTATTTAGGTCACCGTATGGGAAAGGTAAATTCTCTTTAGAGAGAAGAGAGCTTCCTATAAAGGGAAATAGTGTGATGGTGCCTCTTGTAGACTCGTATAGATTGAGAAGCTGGTTTCTTGTAGCAAAGTGGTTTCCATTGAGATTTTGGGTGTTTCCCCTTTTAGTTAGAGAGAAAATCAGTTTCCGTAGCTCTCACCTCTCTATCTGGTATTGTCGATAATGGTTGCCAAGTAAAGAGAAAGAAGAATGACATATGGTGTTGGTCAGGAGGGTAGTTTAAAAGAGTTTGCTCAACTGAGTTTTGTTGAGGGTTGGAAAGGTAACTCTATATCCCAAAATCTTTGATGTAATTTTTATTGGTATAGTGGATTTCAGTTTGTCATACCCGTGAATGTAGCCCTTATGGGGCGAACCACATAAATTATAGTTTTTTTTTTTTTGGTTTTTTTTTCCTGCTTTATTTTTTTTGTGTGTTGCCTATTCTATTTTTCTCGTACTTTATTTTCCAAAGTTAACCCATCGGGTTTAGACCTTCCGCGCACAACACCAGGTCCCAAGTTAACATATAAAAAGAAAAAGGGAAAACTATGGATACCTCCAAAATGAACTTTGAAGATATTTTATCCCCATTACTTTTAGTATTCCACTCTAAACTCAGTCACTTTTTTCTTTATTTTACCCCCAATAAAAAAGTAAATCATTTAAAGACTAAACTACCCTTCCCCTCTCTCTGTCTAGCCGCCCTCTCTATCTCTCTCTATTGACCCTCTCTCCTAATTATAGATAGCAGGTATAGCGAGAGGGTGGGTTGAGACAAAGAGAGAGAGGAATCGTAGTTTAGTCTTTAAATGATTTACTTTTTGACTGGGGATAAAAGCAAGAAAAACAGTGACTTGGTTTAAAATGTGACACGAAAAGTATTGGGGGTTAGTGTGTCTACAAAGTTCATCTTGGGGGATCCATAATTTTCCCTAGAAAAAAAGATAAAAATGTTCCCATACATGTATAATAGTGGTTTTTTATGTATATGTAAAGGTGTAAAAAAATCTTAGGATTATCTTAAAATATATTTTCTTATCTAATTAGAAAATTTTAAACTTCAAAAATAGTTAAAATCAAGTAGATGTATAAATATAAAGTAGTGATCCTATGAGACCCTGTATTGGACCTCAAAGGATCACTATTCAATTTGATACAGTTATATAGAAAAGTCAATCCCGCACCTATGTGATAACTTTTTTAGAGATCTGTGTCAAATTTAATGATGATCCTTTGAGGTCCTACATACATGGGTGTGGGAGAGTCTCATAAGATCATTACTCATAAACATATGAAAATCTTAAAAATAAACGGTCTAGATAATGTGTTGAAAGACACTATTTGTGGGACACTCAAGCTTCACAATATCAGTCCCTTTCCCAAGTCAACACTCAAGCTTCACAATATCAGTGTCTAGATAAATCCGCACCCAATTTAAAAACCCCCTAATTATAATGGACTTCATAAATTTTTAGCCTTTCTAAAGTCAACACTCAAGCTTCACAATATCAGTGCCTTGTCAAAATGCTCCAAGAAATCAAGCAACGAAGAGCAACCTCTCATTTAGCTTATCAACTACAAAGACTGTAGAAATGAGAGTCTATTCCTGTGAAATTCCCAATTTGAATTCTTGGGGCTGATATGATCGTCTCACAATAGAGGGAAGTACAATCGGTGTATCGAGTAAAAAATTATTTAGACGGTCTATTTTCAAGATTTTTAAGTCTTTATAGACTTGCTCAATCTACATTATTTTTAGAACTTTAAATTTAACTTGAGGAAAAAATATATTTTCAAACTATTTTTGGCACCTAAATTGCATCGATCAATAATGTATGGGGGTGCGCCTTTCTTTGATTGTTTAAGATTGACGCTTTATATAAACCACACCATTTTTAAAAAGCAAAACATGAAGGTCATGTCAAAATAGTATGCTTTTAAACTATAGGTTTGATAATGACTATTTTTTTATCTTATTCTATAGAAATAAATGGTAAATTTTTAGTACCACGTTTAAGAGTTGAAATGAGAGTGTCAAGTGTGCTTAGGATCCCTACATGCACACTAATTTTTATAAGTAGAGGAAAATATTGTCTTGATGCAACAACTTTGATGGACCTGAAAATGGGAAGATAATTGCTCGTATGTTCCCCTTTAATACTATAAACTTATATTTTGGCTCTCTTCTAATCAAAACCTATTTTCCAACATACTAAAGCCACAAATTTTGTGATTAAACTAATAAATAGTTGATATCACTATTTCTCTCTATTATTTAGAATTTTCTCCAATCAATAACACCAGAAGAAGAACCCAGGCCAAAGAACAGAAAACCCAAGGCCCAAATTCTCTCCCTTCCTTCTCTTTCACTCCCCTCCATTTACGCTCATGCATAAGTTTTCCCATATGTGATGCTCAGAGGGGGTCGTCCTTTAGAACACAAGGGAGAATAAGCACATCGTTCATCTATCTCATCCTATTTTAAAAATATATAATATTCATTTAAATGAAAGGAAAAGATATAAATCTTTATTGTAATATGTGGGGCTCAACAAGGTCAAATTTACTTGTTGGGATGAGTTCCGTAGGATCCATTTGATCATTATCGTATTCATCCACATTAGGTCAACCCAATGGTTTAAAAACCGGATCGGTGACCCGGATCGGGCTTTTCAAAAACCGATCCGGATCGGCGAATCGGCG